GGAAAATAGTGGCCATGTCATACTTTATTATTGCAATTAAATGCAATTTGATTTTGAAATCTGATTTCATTTTGAAATTTGAAATTCAAATTTGAGACAATGAGGGAGAAGTAAAGTTGAACTCATTTGATTGGTTAGAAAAAAATGAAAAGCATTTAGATGCAAAATTATCTTACCTCAAAAATTAGCACACTCTACAATTTATTCACAAAATAAAATTAAGATTATTTTTTCAATAGATATTTCATTTTAATCGTCAATTTTAGATTTTTTAAATATGGATCCAGTCTTATTAAAATTTATTTAAAAAATATTTATGTTATTTATAATCAATGGACTTGATCTTTACATGTTGATTATTTTTTAGGTTCTTGCAAACTGAAAAAAAAATAATAAAATTTATTTGTCAGGATATTTGCATTATATTCACATACAAAAAAATCATTAATTTATTTAAATTTAAATTTGGGTCTAATTTTATTAATATTTATTTTAAAAAATATTAATACAATTTAAAATCAATTAACACATGCATTATGGGTTGACTATTTTTAAAATCAATTAACGCATGCATTAATATTTACCAACAATGGTCTCATGAGTATTATGAAAATGCTTTTGACATATTTATTTAATATGACTGCACATTCCAAAGACTCAAACTTGAGATTTTAAAATAAATTGATTTAACTCCATCAGCCAATTGAAATAAGCATTCCTTGATGAATTAAGAAATTAATTAAAATTAGTTAAATAAAAATTTTATTTTTTTAAAATTACCCCTTATGAAATTAATGCTATTATTTAAACGAAGAGTGAAAGACACACGGTCATTTTGTATTAATAACCAATAAATAAGGTGTTAAAAATAGGATTGAGAGTATTATTTGATACGAGTAGTATTTATATTTTGAATTACTATTAAATAAGCATTGTGATAAATGACATTGCTGTGCGGGCAATGGATTTCATTTCAGTTTATGGATGTTGCTGGAAATAAACTCATTAAAGGCCTGTTATTAGTTTTATAGAGTAGCGCTAATACAAATTCATTGATATTGATACACTGTTGAAATTGTAATTAATTGATTATTGATGTCAAGATTAATGACTGGGGTAACTATATCATTGTCTCTTTTTAATGGGAAATCATGACAATTTAAATTTGGTGACTGTACTTAATATAGACATTAAGCGTCTGTATTATCTGACCCATTGAAATTTAGATCAATGATTTTAAATTTATACTTAATTTAAAATTAATGAATGAGTGAGTTTATCTAAACTATTGATCTAAATTTTAATGACTTACATGGTATAGGCACTCAATGTTTATAATAAGTTCAGCCACTGAATTTAAATTCCATAAAAAGCTACACACACAGAGGTTATATGCTGTTATTTTGTTTGAGAATCCTATACAAGGAAAAAACTTTAATATGTAACGTGTTTATTTTTAATTAAATCAATACATGTATATTTATTATAAATTATTTATTTTATAATAGATTCTTGTTATTAATATTAATATTTTTAATATATTAAAATTTACATGTCTTAATTTAATTGAATGAAAGTATATTAAGTATATAAAAATAAGTAGATTAGTCTTGCCCATCCTACAATATAAAATACTCTGATAAAAATAAAATTTTAATAATGATAATTTTTTAATATTATCCTTTCTATTATGTATTTTTTCTTTAATATTCTTTTATAAATAAAATATTAAATAAAAGATATTTTTAAAAATATATATTTTTATTTTTAAAAAAATAAAAAATAAAGCGTCTTTAAGTTTTACTTATATATATAATTTTATCCAAAAATCACTTATTAACCGAGACAGAGGATGTAATTTTTATGGCTAATTAAACGCCTATCAAATGACTAAGACCTGACCCTTGGTTGCATTGCGATTCAAATGGGTGGCTGAAAGAAGAATTTAAAAGTTAATTTAATACCACAATGAATTAAATGTTGTGTTTTGTTAAAACAGCAAGATTTTCATTTTCCAAATACATTATTTACAGTAGTTTGTTTGTTGAGAAATTCTTGCATGAATTTAATACATCATATTATAAATGTAGATTTAAATTCGGTGAGTGGTATAAATTCACTTACTTAATAATACCTCAATTATATATATTGGATTTTATCAATACTCTAAAATTATTAAAATATATTTCCTGCCAAAAATTTAAAAAAATCATCATGATCAAAATAAATTGTCCCTTCTAAAAAACAATTCAAATTTATTATTTTTTAAATATTACATGATACAGTCTCTGACAACCATTCAATTAAGTTGAAGTATTATTTTTTGAGTGCAATGGGAAATTTTATTAACCAACAGGAAAACTATACAAGCAAGCAAAAATAACTTCACGTCAAAATCCTAGGTGTAGAAAAACATCTTTTGTTGATGAGCTCCATGATACACTAATTGACTAAGTAAATTTAAGCCACTGAATCTAAATCACATTCATGCTTGTTCAATAAAACTGTACAAATTCATGCTTGTTCAATAAAATTGTACAAGTTCAGTTAAATAAAATTGTATGTGTCATTATTTTTAATGACCTTAATTTTAGAATATAATGTCTCTTTTTGTCTTCTTTTTTCTTTTCATCATTGTCATTGTAAAATCAATTTATATTTATGAACACATGGCATGATATGCTTTTATTGAATAGATTATGAATGATGTGAATTAGAATACCAAATTCATATAATAATTTCTAAGGCCACTTTACGGGGCATATACACAATAGCTACTAGCAAGACAGTACTGTTAATCCATAGAAACTTGTTATATATTCTATATTTTATATCATTGCATGAATATATCAATATATTCATTCTGATTCACGCATATATTCATGGCTCGGGCCCATAAGTCATATTATTCCAAATCCATCATTTTTTTTTTCGAAGTTCTGTAATTGTTGATCAGGCTCAATGTCAAGCCTCAAAACCCATTTTTTTATTTTAAAAAGTGTTAAAAGTATATTTTTATTTTTATATTTTCTTTTCAAGGAGACCTCAATACTTTATATTAATAAGTGGATCATTTTTTTAAATTATTTTTTAAAGGAATAAAAATCTCCCTCCTTAACGGATCACTAGTGGAAGGGTTTTTGCTTTTCTTAAAAATAGTTAAAGGAAAAAAATAATCTATTTATTAATACAAGGTACCCAGCACTTCTTAAAAAAAAGTACTGAGACATGAATGCACTTTAATCTAAAAGTAAATATTAATAATTGCTTTAATTTATGCAATGATTATTTTTCTTCTAACAATGACTAGAATGGAACAAACAATTACAACTTCTCCTCTAAAATAATTATTTTTCTTCTAACAATGACTAATATTTAAATTAAAGCAGCAACTAATATTTTTTATTTTAAAGTAGGGTATTTTAGTTATTTAACAAAAAATCAATAATGCTTAAAAAATCTCTAAAAACTTGAGAAGAATCATGATATTTTACGAAATTTTATTATCATTTACATACTTCAATGGATTAAAGTGCATTTTCTCTATCTATTTTTCTTGGAGGAGCGTTAAGCACCCTACACTAGTAAATGTGATTTTTTTTCCTAAGCTATTTTTTTAAGAAGCAAAAATCTCTTTCTATTAGTGATCAATGCTTTGTTTATTAGTACAGGGTGTTAGCATTCTTTGAAAGAAAGTAGAGGAACAAAAAGACACTTTAATCCTTTTTAAAATCAAATTTATCATTATCATCATAAATTTAAAGTTCAAAAATATGTTTTAAAGCTTGAATTTAATTCGAAGACATTAAATAAAGAGACGTACCTTTTTATTCAAGGCTTAAAATGACTGGGCACAAAAGCCATTTTATATTAAAAAAAAAATCAAATTTTAAAGGGAAGCCCAAAATAAGAGTTTAAACAAAATAGCCTGATAGGTGGGACCCATATTTCATGCTTTAATTCAACGAGGTTGCATTTGGGAAGATGTAAATAATATAAATAAATAACAAATGTGAGGCAACCAAAATAAACAAAGGCAAGGAAAGAATAGCTTCGTTGGAACTTGGAAGGGATTCCCTGGAAAGCAATGAAATTGTAATGGATAGGAGAGAGGTGATGATTCATGATTATAGACTCATTCTTCGATCGAAGCTTGGAAGCTCTGGTGCACCCAGGACGCCCCAAATTAGAAATGACAAGGGACGGCGAAGGATCAGCGGAAGATATTAGGATTGAATGAACGGTGATGGATGCCCGGAGACGTCACACGTTCCCCACCACTAACACTCAACGTCCCCACGCCCTAAAAAGCCTCTTTCATTCTTGTCTCTTTCTCTCTCTTTCCACTTTTCTCCCCCCCTTTTAAACCTTTATCTCCGTTTTGGTTTATTACTTATTATGTGCTCGGACTAGAATTCCCAATCACCCCGACAGCTGTCTCCACTTTTGCTCCACTATTAAGGGCCACTTCTTCCTGCCCACATCACTTCTGACGTGGTCCTCATCTCAACCTTTGCTCTTTCCCTCGTTCGCCAAACTCGCCTTTCTTTTCCCATCACTGTAGCCATCATCTCGCTGCTCGCACCACCAGCGCTTTTTCACACCCATCACAACATCACATGCCTATGGTTTCATCGCATTCATCACAGCACCTCTTCTAAAACTTGGCACGTAAGATATCATGTTAAGTTCGTCGAGCAGCGTGTCACCCACATGTTCCAGCAAATGTAACCATATAGAGTCTGTTTTTAAGCTCCTAGTCTTTCGTCTGTTTCTTTGTACTTTGATTCTGCATTGTTTCCTGCTGCTTTAGTAATGGATTCCAGTAATTATTCAAAAAAAAAAAAAAACACAAAGTCCGTCCAGCAAAGAGAGACACAAGCTACGGAACAAGACACGATAACCTAAAGCACTGGAATCCGAATTGGCAATAATGGACCGAAAAGGAATAAAAGGGGAGAGAGGCTATAGCCACCATTCAAATGGATGAGGATAACGAGTTTCGAAAATGGAACGAACACCACCAGAATGACATTATTGGAGAAACCCATATATGGAGGAAAAAAAGGGAAAGGCAGGACTCGAGCCTCATAACACATGACCACGTCGGCCCCTCCACGATGTTTCCCTTATTGCCATTTAATGCGAAGGCGAAACCATACAACAACAACATATCCTCTTTACTACTCCATCAGGAAACAAGCAAACACCGCATTAATTCGTCTCTTAACTGCCCTAAAACAAATTATCTTACAGCATCAATTTTGTACACCCATGCCTGCTCTCTGTAGCATCTTACGGTTAGTTGTTATGAGCAAACCCTCTACCTTGCTCTTCCCCCCATATGATCTTCTTCCTGAACCACATTTATTACAAATCTGTACAATGATGCAGCTGTATCCTCCCTCATCTTTTCCATCACTGCCTCTGCTTGTGTGGACACGTGCACTTTGCATTACTGTCTGAAAGCGTCTGTACAAATAGGAAGGAAGAAAATGCGAGAGTGAGTGCTCAATATGTGGTCAACGAGCGATTTCCTCGTGTTGAGAAATATTGACATTGTTGTGATGACGATCCAGTGTTTTATTTGACATGCCTTTTTTTGGATACAATTGGCAAGCAAAACTTGAAAAGAAAATTTATTTGACATACCTGAACCTGCTTTTGAAGGTCTTTAATGTAGTCGACAGCCAAGTCCAACATGTCTGCTGTGTTTGTTTGCTGAAATACGGAGAGGGAAAAAATCATCATTCATTTTCCTTCCTTCTCACATACCGGCTTGCTGTGTGTGTGTCTGTGTGTGTGTGTGTGTGTGGGGAAAAATCTTACTTTGTCCATGTTGGGGACCAGATCTTGTAGTTTCCTCATGCGCTCACTGATCTTAGTTCTTCTAACCTGACCCCAATTCACATCCACGTAACCATAAAAAGTTAAAATCCAACGTAGTTTAAATATACTACAATTTGCCAAATTATAGTTTTTAATTGCAAATCCCGAAAAAAGCAATGCAAATGTAATCCAGAAACAAGATGCTAAAAACAATTGAACCACACTTTTTTTTTGTCTTTTTTTTGGGGAGGGGGGGGGCTTAGGAGTATAAAGAAGAAAATGTATTTATTGTTCCAGAAGGTTAATTGGTCAGTGAATTTTAGAAATGCATGATTTTTTATTATTATTTTTTTTTTAATCGCTACTTATCAGTATACATCAATAAAAAAAAAAAAACAGAAACTGAATCATGTAAATTTAGTATTCATAGACCAAATAATTGACGCCGGACCGATATATATTTCCTCTATCATAAAATGTACCCTCTCTGCGATGCTTCTCGGGTGAGTCGCACACCCCCTCTTAGCACGAATTTTACAGGGAACAGAATCTGAGAACTGCAGAAACTTTTCAATGGCTGCCATTTCAGCTGAAGTTTTTGGCAAGCTGAGGTGATGAGCCAGAGGAGCAGGACCAGGCTGGCTGGCTGCCTCGTTCTGTTCAAGGACAACCAAATCGGGTCAATGGTATTCCATTTGCAAAATATACAACAGAAAAATGTTCAATAATTCTGTACCTGAGTCTCAGAAAATGTTTTTGCATCCTCGTCTCTAAATCTTTTTAGTCCAGCAGTATTGTCAGACATGAGTGCAGAATCGTTCCAAGGACCTGGGGGGAAACCTGTGATAAACTCATTATCTTGACTTTCAGCAAAAGATTCAGTGTCTTGAATATGATCTGTGTTGCCTTTGCCCCCAACTTCAGCTATGGAAGACATTAAGCCTTTCGAGTATTTTGGCGGATTTTTCATCCTCATCGCTGAAGAGAAGTTCGCTTCTTCGCTTGTGTTATTACCAGATCCCAATATGCCTGCGCCTCTCATAGTAGCAAAGCCTGCCAATTAAGCTTGCATAGCGTCATTATGACAACCTATTCATGAAGTAAAAAAATGAAGGTTTGGATAAATATAAAGCCCTCAGCAAACAAAACATCTAATATTACAACCCATGATAAGCTCATTCAACCTTGTCCCTAAATTGACACCTTTTTTTTTTTTTTGCAACTATAAGCGTGAGACTTAAGTTTAAACATCTCCTTGGCCATGTGCAGAAAAGAAATATGGCAAACAAGAAGCAAATTGCTAAAAGTAAAAGATGATTAAAGAAGGGTAATCTTGAGATGTATATTTTCCAAGAATGAAGTAGAACACAGCCAAAGGACAAGGAAAATTGAAGGTGAAGACAGAACATATTACTTTCAATGTTTATGGTGGAAAAGAGTCCAGCGGGTGAGCTATTGTGCCTGATTAGATTGGAATTATTTGCATCGGGAGCCTTCATATGTGACAATCGATGACTTGCCCTCGAATAGACTCCTTCCATAGCTGAAGAAGTCAGGGTCTGATTCGGCAAAGGTGGACGCCCTGAGCTTTGGAAAAGATTCTGCGGAGCAGATACAAAATTATTAATACTGTTCTGCTGCTGCTGCAGCTCGAAAGCCTCCATTTCATTGTTCACGGAAGGCATAACCTGAGGCTGCTGATCCATCTCTTCCTTCACAGCAGAATTTTGTCGAGCAGATGAAAGATATTGAGCCGGTGCATCTTCTGACTCATTAGCAAGGCTATTCATAAACCGTGAAAAAATTCGCTCTGTTTCGGGGCTGGAAGGCCGATTGAACACGTCCTCATAGAATTCCTTGTCTATGACATTCGTGAAATATGAGCTCGGAGCCGATCTGTACCGTGTCAAACCAGAATTCATCTGCTGCTGCTGCTGATGACCATGTAACATTGAAGAGCGGTGCTCAAGATCTGACTCCATTGCTTCCCAGGTTCACTTCAAAATTCTATTCAGGTGTATCGGATTTTTATGACGGAGAAGGCTTTGTTCTTTTCGACGAATTTCGTGCCAACTTTCCCTTCTCAGTTCTCAGATCGTGCCATGTTTCTGGGTACTCCAAGGAAGTTTGCTGGCAATTGCAAGGACATATTTTGAACTTAAATATGCGTTGAAGCCGAAAACTGTAGAAAGGCGAAGCAGATCTAAAACTAATAAATCAAATCCAAAACCAGATAATCGGGTAGGACACTAAATATGAAGTGTGGTGCAGCTAAAGTACAGATAAAGGACAGGAAAAGAGAGCAGTATGTCACGGCCTTGGAACTCCCTTCCCTTGAACCGTGCCGGCCTTAGCTTGATCCCTCTTTTGATCTTTGCTAAGTCAGCCGAATCCCACAAGTAGGCAAGGAGGCTAAGAGAGCTAGATGCACAAGTAGAGAGTAGAGAGCTTGAGTGAATGAACTTTAAGAGCTTTTACACTAAGCTTGAGTTGAGTTACAAATGAGGGGTGAGGGGGTATTTATAGGCCTCCCCCTTTCTCTAGAAAATTCCCACCTCCTTAATGGACGGTTGGGATTGATTCGATCTAACGGTGTACATTCTATCTCTAGATAATTCTCTAGAAATATCTACAAGAAATATCTTGATAATTACAAGGAGACTACTAGAATGTACAAGAGCAAGATATCTCTAGAATGGTCTGGATGCTTCAAGTGTTTTCTACACTACTCTAGAGATATCTAGGTCTTTCGAGGACATACCGGCGTATTCCAGAAGACTCCGGGGTGTTCTTGATTGTCCTGGATCGTTCCGGATACTTCTAGAATATCTTAACCTCATGAAAATTCTATCTTCGTCACAAGTAGAACTACAAGTGGCAAGTTTTTTTTTTTTTTTTGGTTTTTTTGGCTCTCGAAAATAAGCAGCAAAAGCAAGAGTCATGAGTGAAAAGAGGAAGCGGGCACTCTGTTGCCGAAAATGAATCACTCAAAACAAAAAAAAAATATATATATATATATATATATAAGATTCGCAACAAAAGCAACAGTGACAGGAGAGAAAGCACAGGCAAGGAAAAACAACAAGCACGCACCGGAATCCCTCAGTATAGCGAAGAGAGGTGCGGGAGCGGCGAGCGAGTGGATATAGAGCGGAAGGATGAGGAGAGAGGAAAATTTTGGCATTAAAAATGGAGGAGTGGGGCGAGGAGCCAATAAGAAGTGAACACATTCCATGAAACCGGGGTCTCAGATATTGGCATGTTTCCAGGCCCCATTTACTAGAATGCCCCCAAAATAGTTGCCTCTTGGTTGTCTTATTATTATATCGGGGGAGAACTGGAGGGAGGGGAATCCTGTTTCAGTCTGAGAATATGAAAGAGGGGAAGAAGCCGTGTTGAGGTTCAGTTGACCTTTTGTCATGGCTGAATAAATATGCCATTCCCTGCAAGTAATATCCAATGAAAAGCGCGGTGGGGGCGAGATCACTTCCGTGCCTGCGCCTCTACCCTATCTATCTTTTCACCCTGCTTTTATTTGTATTTTCCTTCATCGAAATATGCAAGCGAAACTGGAATTCACTGAACCTTCCCCTCCCCCTCGTGGACGAAAGGTAACTTGACTTTTAACCCTTTGTAATTCCACCTTGAGAACGGTCAGAATGAAGATGATGTGTTTGGAGAGTTACTCCATCTCGGACCATGTTCATCTGGTCAGACTTACATTGGTCAGCTCTATACATTGAATGGCTTTGCTACCGGCTCAAATTTAGTTAATTCCATTTTTTTAAAAAAAAGTACGTATTCATACAAAAATAGTTAGAAATACAATTTATATTTTTTATGTATGTAATTTTTATAATTTTTTTATTAAATCAAGTGCTTAACTCAACTTCGTTTGTTTTCACCAGGTACAGTATCTGTGCCACGGGAGCAGTTCATAATATATTGAGAGTGTTGAATGTTAATTTTCATCCAACTATTTGAAGGGGTGTATTTTTTTTTTCTTTTGTTGGACGCAATTATGTTTGAAGCAAGTGCTGGTTATACTTTTTTATATTATATGCAATACAATACTCCAACAATTCACTCTCGGATTGAGATATGCAAATTCATGTAGAGTTTGTCTTTAAAAAGAATAATAAAAGATTTTATATTTTATAAAAATAATAATAAAATAAGGGAAACTACAATGAAAAGAAAAATTTCACAAAAAATCACGAATATCAACTTTAGATTATTTAAATCCAAACAGTTTTAATCAAATTATACCCTCTAATGAGTTAATAAATTGTATTTAAAATTACACATGCTTTCCATACTTACTATTATTTAATTGGATGTCTTAATTATAAAATATTATTAATTACACTTCTCAATTAAGAACATTTTAAAAATACTTGTCTATAAATGGCCGAATAGTTTCCAATACATCAAAAACAAAAAAAAATAAAATAAAAAACATTACAAGCTGGAAACTAAAAGAAGCTAGAACACGGAAGACACATGTCCAATTGCATTGCTCTTGTAATATTTTGAATTTTGATTCCCAAACTTAAGATATTAACTGTGGGAGATTAGGAATAAGTTAAGAGTTTAATGGTTTAGGGATGGTTAGAATGTACTACCAAACCTAATTATTGTCGATTGTAGCCTTAAGATTAGTCCTAGAAGCTTAATAGGTTGTGCGGGCCCAAAATAAGGAGTAGTGAGATTCTCGATTTTAGCCACCCATGGATGAAAATCTTCACCATTTATTAGCTCGCAGACAAAATTGCAAAGCTTACAACTACACATGGATGATACCTTAGAATTGCATTTTAAGTGGCCAGAAGTTGTAGAAATCAGAGAGGAAGAGAGGGAGACTTGGAGAGATGTCGAAGGGCTCTACTAAGGCAACATTTTCAAGAGCTTTTGGGCTAACAACCACCTAAGGTAAGTTCTCACATCATTTTTCTTCAATTCGAGCTAGTTTTTAAGTTAGGATTTTGATGTTATTCCTTAAATCCACCCCCTTGTTGGATATCTAAGCTTTGGGTTGTTATTAGCCGAATTAATAGAGTTAAATGAAGTTATTTGATGTTGGTTTTTGCTCCTAGAACATTGATTTCTAATGGGTTGAGCTTTAGGTTCAAATTTCTTAAGGGTAGGAAAACCCTAAGCACTTTAAGGATGAATTAGGGCTATAAGTTGTTATAGTTGTTGGAAGCTTATGAAAACTAATAAGCTCAATTGAATGGAAGTTACACTTGTTATTGAAATTATTGGTGGTCAAAGTGTGAGTTAGGAAATGGAAATTGGTGTTATATTGAGTTATTGGTGGTACTAGTTATTGTTGATTGTAGATTAACTTTGTTGCACGGATTATGGAGCTTGATTTAAGCAAAGGAAACAAGTTATATTGGGATAATCTTTAATCTCTTAAAGGTTTTAAGTAACCGAGGGATATCTAATTCATGCTATTGCTTGCTAAGTTAATTTAGGTTATTTTGTGAATATGATAAAGCTTAATTTATTTAAATATAAACTTGATTATGGCTTTGGAAAAATATTTGCAAGTGACATTTTTCTTGAATTTTTGTTACAACATATTATATTAGAAATGCTATATATTATTAGGCTGATTTTATTATTAAATGGTGGGTTAATGCTTGCATGCTCATGATAGTTTAATTATATTGTTTAATGCATGTTGTTTAATTTCATTAGTCCATGAAAAGTGGAAATGCATGTTGATAAACTGCATATTAGCGTGATCATGATTTGGGTGGGAGGATGCCCTAGGTAGAGCAGAGGTTTCTTTCTACATAGAACCATATAAATTCACCCTGGACTAGGTGTAGTGGTCACGATCAAGTTTGCATGAATCTCACCCCGAACTGGGTGTAAGTATAGGTACCTAAGCCTATTGCCCTTTTACATCACTTTGGACTAGGTGTGGCACTAAGCAATTATGACACCCTAAGGGATTCGACAATGGGGGGAATCCATAGTCTAAGATTAAATGATGCATCTTTGGCTAAGTGTCTCATCATGATTAGAGAGGTTCGGCTAGTCCAGTCACAAGAATTTGTCCTATTGAATTGTCAGCTCACGGATTCGGTCAGCAATATAAGGTGAAGATAAGGAGTTGAAGATCATGCATTTATTTGTATCACGAGATGTGATATAAATGTATTGTGATAACATGTTTATTGTCTTACTATGATTTTTATACATGCTCACTCTACATGCCTTTATTGATTTAACTTGTATATATGTAAATTAGATATTTTCTTAATTACTGAGTAGTTGTGCTTATCCCTATTTAATACTTTACAAGGACTGGCTCCAACAAGAAAAGGGGAAAACCATTTGAGCATAGAAATTTGAGATTCCTGTCATGTAAATTCCTCGTTTACTTATTTCTTTATGTGTAATATAATGATGATAATTACCTTGCCAGCTTAGGATGTTTATTTTAAATTACTTATATCACTGCATATTATTGATATCTAATTAGTTGCAATTTAGAGCCTTGAGCTTTATTTTATGAGTTGTGATTGTGAAAGGCTTAGACACCGGTGCAAATATACTAATGATCACTTTGTTGACTAAATATGTTTGTGTTGGAATTTGGTGTATTAGATATCTCCCCTATGCTTTGATGATTAAGGGGTTAAGATTTGGAAATGAAATTATGCTGGATATACATACATACATACATATATATATATATATATATATTTGTGATGCATTATTGTAGGTTATCTTAAGTCCTTTAAGGGCTCAATCTAAGTTGTGGTTGAAATATTTCCATTACCTAATTACAGTTAACTATAAAACCCAAGGCAATATTTAGATTAACCTAATTAGATTACCAAATTTGTAATTTGTAAAAATGGGATCCTAAATTTTCATAAATCATAAATCGCTTAAACACCATTTAATAAACCTCAAATCAAAGTAAAAAAAAATATTTTGAAAGCATGAGATATATCGAAAGAGTGAAAAGATTCAAAAACAGTTAAAAAATATCAAAACATGAAAAAATAGGGCAATACAACGAGTCATATTGCACATATTAGACAGCAACCTGAGGCAACTTTGGTTCCAAATTTAAGGCTAAAATCACAACTAATTACACATATTAAATCCCTCTGGCCATACCTCATATCAATAGACTTAATTACCTTGATTAAGCTTAGTTAATTAGATTCAAATTTCTTGAATGTTACACTCTTCCTTCTCCTTCTCTCATTTTTTCTTTTCTTCCCTCTATTTTTTACATCAATTTTGCATCTTATTTCTATAAAAAAAATGTACTATGCATAATAATGCTTGTCTCCATGTGCCATTGCATGCGGTATAGAGAAGTGAACTTCGTATTCTGGTGGCTCGTGCACTATGACATGCCGTGCACGCACCATGACATGTAACACAAAGCTATTTCTCCTTATTTTTCTCACTTTGTCATGCCCAGGTGGCCTAATTTCACTCCAAATTTAATCTTAAAGCTAAAATCACAATCCAAAACATCCATTAACTCTCTGTAATCACATAACACATACATTTACTTAATTATCCTTATTTACTCAACTAATTTAGAGTTAAATTTTCCCGAATGTCACAGTGGTTTGTGTTGTTAGAAATTAGTTGGTATGGACACCTTATTCATTTAAATGTAAATGATATTATTATGTGACTGGGTGTCCAATATTGTGATTTGTTTTATTTTAAAAGTAGAACTAGTGCCAAGAATTACTTTATTGTTTAAGTTCTTTAGGATTATTTAGACTTTCTCATTTGGATGTCAGATGTTGGATCAGGTTGTGATGGATGTTCACTCCCAATAGTTATTTTTATGACAATACTACCTTGTCCCAGTGCCTATATAGTATACTACTACGTAAGGCACCTGTGCTATGGCACACTGCATAGGGGAGGTCATGACATGACAGACTATGTGTAAGCTACGACAAACGCTCTTCTGGGTTCAAGATTGTATATGTATATTATGTTGATATATTATTGCTTAGAAATATGAAAGCTATTTAGTTATGTTTTTGTCTTGTTGTTTAAAATATGTATAACTTGTCAAAATATTCTAAAATATTGTTGTTGTTAGAATTTTGTTCGGAAAAATTAATTATCATGTGGTAGGCCCTTATTGGACTCAATGAGTGACTCGTAGCTTGATCCAACTCATCTTTGATTGGGTGATTTGGCTACTGAGCATAATGTAAAGAAAGATATAAGGTGTAGTAATGCAAATTAATATATTTGCATTT